CAAATCTGGCACAGTCAATGAGGATGAGATGCACTGTAGTACTTTAGTATTTTGAATCATTATTTCCCCATTTATCCCTGTAAAGCTGCTTTGAAACAATCTGTATTGTATAAAGCTCCGTGTATATACATACATATATATATATATATATATATATACATGATGGTGACTTCACTATTTTATGTATTTGTTTTTTTTCTCTTAGTTTTCTCTTTAGTTATAATGAAGTAGTGTATAGTTATCAAATTAATGTGGTATAAATATTTTAAACTGATCAAGAAATTTGTGTTGTGTTGGTATCAGCAGATTCTCAAGGTTGCCTTATCACAATCTGTAGCGGACATGAAATGAGTGCTGTTTGTGACAACAATATATATATACAAACCTGTTAAGGTATATATGAATGCCTAGGTGATCTTTTAACAATTTCATAATCCTATTTGGACACAATGCATTCGGCACAATGCCTAGGTTTATCTGGAAGGTAAATGGAAAAAAAAAATTGTATCTGTATATTCATTTATTAAAACCTGATGTGAGTGGGGCCTACATGCAAAGCCATTCATAGTTTATATATGCCAAATATGTATAAATCATATAATTCAGATGTAAAAAAATTAATTGTAAGTAAAAGGAAATTGTTCTTTGGTAGAGTACATAGCCATCATTTGTGTGTGGGATGGATGGGACATGCTCCTATCACCAAGTCAGCTGAAATCGCTATACAAATCACACAGCGACAGTGGTAAGGAACCCAAACTGCATCAGGTGACAAAAATGGATGAAAAAAACATGGGAGAAACCAGCCTCAGTCCGGGAACCTCAGTCTGAGGATCTGTCTCAAGGGCTTGTCTTTTCAAGACCTTAGGTGACTGTGAAGGGCTATGTTGTTGTCGTTTCTGGTTGCAGGTCCACCATCATTAGTCCACAGACTAATTTTAGCATAGATGTCATTCAGTGTAACAGTTCTGTTTGCCCTAATTACAACTTATTCAAGGATTTGAATTATAGAAATGTTATGTGTATGCTAGGTTAAAGACATACCTCCCGAACATCGCTAGGAAGACTGTTTGGGTTTGGGTGCTAAATAGGAAAAGGCACTAAATTGCACAGAAATAGCAGAAAAAGAACAATCAATGGAAACTCAACTATTCTGCTGTAAAGCGGCTTTAGAAAACAATGGTGTCATTATTTTCTATGTACTTAGAAAATAGTACACAATGTACTTAGTGGTGGTTTACATCAGATAAAGGTTACATTTATTTTGATAGTCTAGTGTAGGAATGCATGAATTTACTTTTCTGCATTTGAGTTTCAGAGCATGTGTTGTAATGTAGAGATATTTATAAGGTGTAAAAACAGCTTTAAAAATGCTAGAAATGTGGCTTTCAAATGACAGATTGCTATCAAATAGCATGCCAACATTTCTAACTGACGATGAAGACTTGACAGAACATCCATCAAGAGTACCAGCATTTGAGGTTATTTCGTGTGGAGGTTTTTGTTCTTTTAATTAAAACCTCTGTTTTTCTGAATTTAGAAGGAAGTGAATTTAGTAGGAAGTTGCTAGTCATCCTTTTTTTTTTAATATCAGCTATGTATTCTGTTAGTTTTGTGAATTGGTATGTTTTGTCAGGCCTCAAAGAAATATAGAGATGAGTATCATCAGCGTAACTATGTAGAACTAAATCCATGTTTCTTAATGAGATCTCCCAAGGGTAACATGTGCAGGTTAAAAGCAATGGTCATCATACTGAGCCTTGTAGTTCTTTATACCGAACTTGTGATCTATATGATTCCTCTTCATTTACTGACTTGTGCAATCGGCCATTCTATGGTAGGGATGAGGCATTTGTGGCTCAATTTCACATAGATTAGAGACAAAGAGAAGGCTTTCTTGCTGGATGCCCCTGTTTCCTAGACAAGCCTTTTTGACAAGATGTCGTCGATAGGTTTTGTACGGCGATATAGCAGTTGGCTTATTCTTTATAACTTATACTTAGTTTAGTATACCTATATGGTAACTTGTAGTATACTTCAGTTATTCCCAACCAGGGGTATGTGAGCAGGCTCCGGGGGTATGTGACAAGATTTAGATTTTGCTCCACGTGTTTAAGGCTGTCCCGTCGCATAGGCAGAATAGGCAAATGCTAGGGGCACTGCGCAACATGTTTTTGCAGCATTGAGTATTGTAGCCAATCACAGGCATGTCTGTTGAATGTAATGGCCAATTAGAGGTATTTAAGTTACCGATAGTAAGAATCCGCTCAATATTCCTCAAAATGCTGAATGAGTTTCCGTTTAGGGAGTAAACATCTGGGAGTGGAAAGTTCTGCTGGTGATCTACACCACAGTGTGCAAATTAAAGGACACAGACGCAACATCTCATTTCTATAATGACCATGCAATCTATCAAGTGCAGTGCAAATTTGCGTAAGGTCAAAACAGGCAGAGTGAACTAAAAATTACGTGGTTTGGCAAACAGTATGTTCTGATAATGTCTTCCTCTGGCATTCCAAATAAATTAATACAAGTGGAAATAATTCTCTCCCGTCTACCACACCTTCTCTGTTATCTGTGGAGACTCCTCCTGGCAGAAACAATCGCAGCCTTGTCAAGTGCAAAATGGGTAAGACATGCTTTTTAGGGTGTTAACTAATGACGCAAACACTAGTAAACTGAATACCACAAACCTTAGTAAATCACCTTGCATGATTCATTTAAATACTCTCCACCCATAAATTTTGCGTCTGAAAGGGACACTCCTACAAATGCATATGCAATAAGGTCAGCCAAAAAAAATTACTGTCTGTCACTAATGTTTCACTGCGTATCTTTAGTAAATCCTGACAGCATTTTTTTTAACGCCAAAAGAGGGTTTTGTGCTGGCACAAACCACTAGTAAATCTGGCCCTTATTTTGCAATTTAGCCACATTCTGACTTTTCTTAATATTCAGTACAAAAAAGTACTAACAAATATGAATGTCTAAATATAAATTCAAAAGCAAAACTTGTGGAAAAAAGTAAGGACTGGACATGGCTAATGAACCAATAAGTGCTCCTTTGCCACCATCTACTAGTAAAAGTAATTTAATATATTTTTTATTTTTAAATAAAAGTGTTTGTTTTCCATCAAGTGTAAGAATTCATACATATTAAAAATTACAGTTTTACAAATGGGGAGACTGGGGGACAGAAACTGTCCCCAGATTTGTCCCCCAAATAATGTTTTTGTTTATCCCAATAAAAATATTTATATAAAAATATATATAAAACATTTAAAAGTGCTTAGTACTCAGTACTAATAATCTACACAACATTCTCTTCCACTCTTCTTTTGCTGTTCTTTTTAACTTTCCAACTGATTATGGTGACCATAGAGAATCCGCTCAAATTAGGTTGAACTCTTTGTCCTGCCTCTGTCATTCCATGCACAAGAACATGCTCTATCACAGTAGCTCTCATTTCATCTGAAATGTCTGTTCTTGGTCTTGCTCTTCCTCATCCTCCTCTTCCTCCACCTTGTATACACACTCTTCCATACCTCTCAGATTGATGGAAGCACCCATGCCATCTGTGCACTTTGAACTGGCTTATGTTTTGTACATTCACATATTTAGAAACAAGTGTGAACAGTTTAGAATTATTGTTTGTAAATGATGACAGCCGTGTTGCAGTTGTGCTTAACTTTTGCTTTCTTGTGTTTAGGGTTTTGCATCACAAGTTTATCACAGTGCAAATTGTGTTTTAGTGAGTGAGAATGTGTTTAGAGTTTTGCAAAAAAAGTGTGTGAGATCTGCAAACAGTGTCTAAACTGCCTGAACTTGTTTAAGGTTTTGCAGAAAGAGTGATTTATTTGACAAACTGGTTTAGGCTATTGAGAATTTGGTTTAGAGAGTGGGATTTAGTGTCTTAGCAAATGTGAAAAACTGTAAACATGTTCAATAATCTCAATCATTGCCTGGTTCATTGTGATGAAGTGTATATCTCTTCACAATAATGATTTGAAATAAAGTGAAAATCATAAACAAGCCTATTTATATTTAACAAGCATTTAATTATTTATTTTAATAAATGTATTTTGTCCAGTCTTTCACCCACAACATTGATTATTTGATTTAATATGGATGAAGTACTTATGTTGGGAACCATTGTATACTTCAGAGTATAGTTGCAATACAAAATAAAAACTAATTATCCACTACTGTTACACTTAAAGTACACTAAAATTATACTTTTAGAAAGTAAAAAGTTGGCCAATTTAGTCCCAATAAGTATTGAACTAGTACACTTACAAGTAAACTACTAGTATATTTATTTTAGTATACTACATAAAGTATTAATATACCTGAACTTAAGTTTACTTAAAATAAACTTTAAGAGTACTTATTTTTTGTAGGAATACATCATTTGGAGAGAATCACATGAAGTCCCTTGGAGGAGTATTTAAATTCTCCTGTAATTTTCAATAAATAAATAATCTAAATGCCCAACTTCCTGTTAGATTCCTGTTTTAAATGTAAAAATTGTCCTGCATGATGAGAATGATATATGTACCGAGTCTGGTGACGGTAGGTAAAACTGTCCCCACCACTTTAGTCAGAAAGGGCGCTACAACCCCACCCCTCACCACAACCACTCCCATGTTTCGACTTTCGGCTGACAACTCTCTGTTTCTGATACTGTTTAGAAGTTTTTTTTTACTCTCAAGCACCAGACATATTGATTTCTAGATTCAAATTGGATGTACACCTGATGATATACAAAAGAAATTCAGGGCCAAAACCTCAGCGAATCAGATGGTTTGATCTGTTGAGGCTTTCAGAAAGGTCCTCTTTGTAGACCACAAAACAAAAGTGATAGTCCACAGAGAGAGAGAAAGAAGTAAAAGCTGTGCAGCACTGTGGAAACAGATGAGAGATGAGAGAGATTTGATACTACTGTGGTTCTTCATGCATGTTTGTTCTCAGACTACTGCACAATTCTCAAAGGAGCTAAAGGCTGAGGAAGGAAACAGCCACAAGCACCATTTCTGTCAACAGCACACTAGACAAAGATGAAAAAAGTGAAAGAATAGAGAAGAGGAAAAAAGGAACCATTTAAAATGGTTAACATACACCCACACACTGATTCTCAATGTCTTTAGTTCCTGACACTCACGTGACAAGGGTATATCCGCTGTGTATGCTACAGACAGGTCACACCGAAGCCTACAGCTGCATACAGTGTGGTTCAATGAATAAGGAGGCATGATGACATCCAATAAAAACTTTAAAGCACCTTTAAAACAGCTGAGCAGCCTGGACAGCTACATAATCGACAACTCTCAAAAGAAGAAAAACATACTGTGGCGACGACGCTCTTTCAGCAGTGCCAAAAATTCGAATACTGAAGAGATCAAAGATGGGACATTGTCATGCAGTAAGGTGGGACAATCAACATACAGTGATATAATTTTATTATATCTGTTTCTATGGCAACATGAATGCAGAGAGTTTACAACTGTAGGTCTAACATTCATTTTGTCAAAATATTCTAAAGGAATGTTAATGGATTTTTAAAAAGTTCAGTTGCAAAAATATTTTCAAAAGTTGTTCAGACATTAATTAAAAACATGCATTCCTGCCGGATTCTTGCAGTTTTTCAAAATTTCAGATTGTTTCTCATTAGTAAATAATCTTTGATTTCATCTGAGAATTACTCTTTTGCAGCTGCACAGAACACACTCAACATCTCTAGTGGATTATACCGATCCTCAGAGGTAAGACTGATTTACTGATTCACTTCATTGTGAATTTCTTATCTCTCATGCAAATATTCATCGCACATTTCTCATGTTTTGCGCAGAACAATGGTTATATTGGAGAAACAAGACAATGAAGACTTTGGATTCGAAGTTCAGGCATGTTTTATACTCATAACCAATGTTTCACACTGCATCGAATGCACTTTTTTCTCACATAGGTGCATTTTCACATTAACAAGTAAACTTTGGTGATTCATCATTTCATCATTCATCATTAACTGTGGACCTGATCCACTAACATAATACTAAGACAAAATGTCACAATTCCGCCTCTCTGCATTTTAAATGATACATATTGTTTTGTCTTTCAATATGTAGCAAATATTCTTTGGTTAGATGCTATAAATGCTACTTCCTTTGATATTTTGTGTCTAAACTCAGAATTTTTTTAATAATGGCTTAATTGTCCAGATACATTTTGGGGCCATTGTACACACACAACCAAAACCAATAGAACAGGCTCATTAAATACTCCATTGGGATGTATGTCTCTCTGTGCAGACATATGGTCTCAAGGTGAAGAACAGCAGTATGGTGGAGATGTGTACATTTGTTTGCAAAGTGCAGGATGGCAGTGCAGCCGAAACTACAGGTTTGACTGCTGGTGAGCAGGTTTTCCACTTCCTCTTCTTAGAGTGTTATTCACTCCACCCATTTGACCTGACCCTGTTTACATGGCACTTTCCCACAAGCCTACATGCCATCTACATTTAACACAGCTGATGTATTGCTCTCTTTGGTCTTTGTGGACTGTTATTTCACACTTTCTCGCATATATATATATATTTGTTTTTTCAATAGACAGCACCATAATCTGTCTGACAATTTACATTTTAATGCATTATTATTTTTATATTACGATTATGTTATATTACCATTTATAATGTTTCCTGAGGTCCACTTATTATGTACATTTAAAAAAAAACTTTTTTTATACATCAAAACAGTCATAATTGGCCATTTTCTACCTAGTTTTGGACCCTCAGAATCTTATTTATTTATTTACTTATTTATTTACTATCTCTCTTTCTCTCTCTTTGATAGGTGACATCATATTGTCAGTAAATGGATTCAGTATTGAAGGATCTACCCACCAGCACATTATTGAGTTGATTCGAGATTCCACTAACATGCTGAAGTGAGTATAAGTATCAGAAACAGGATGTTTTTTTGTGTTCTATGGTCATGAATGACGCCTCAAATAATGCAGCTTGTTAAAAAGATTAAGATTAAGTGCTATTAAGTGACTGGTCACTTAATAGCACTTAATCTTAATCTTTTTAACAAGCTGCATTATTAAATGCATCTTCCCATAGCAGGAAGATGTTCTTCTTTTGAGAGTTATCGATTATGTAGCTGTCCAGGCTGCTCAGCTGTTTTGAGTGCTTTAAAGTTTTTATTGGATGTCATCATGCCTTCTTATTCATTGAACCACACTGCATGCAGCTGCAGGCTTCAGTGTGAGCTGTTTGTAGCATACACAGCGGATATACCCATGTCACGTGAGTGTCAGGAACTAAAGACATCGAGAATCCTTTTAATCTCATGGAAGATAAAAAGGATGGAAAACAAAAAATCCTAGGGAGACCTGGGGCCAGCTGCACCTATTATTTATGAGTATAGTAAGTCTACTTTAGCAGGATAAACTGAAATTCATGACATTTCAACACAACTTCTGCTCACAAATTTGTAGGCTGCTTTGGATCATTGAAGGTAAAAGACATATTATGCAAATACACACTTTCCGGAGAGCTTGCAACCTACTAACTACGAAAAATGTTAGTCAAATGCAATGTAACCAAAATTAAGTACAAAATTAGTTACAAAGCTAGTAGTTATTAACTCTCTACTGTGGACATCTTCATTCAATGTAAGAACTTACTAATGGCTGGTGCAACCCTGATCCATATCTAGGGACAAAAAGACTTGACAAGAACTCTTTTGATGTGCCAATGTAACTTTGCCAAAGACTCTTTTGTGCAATCACCTAGCAACCACCCAGAACACCCTAGTAACCAACAATTAACAAATAAAAAAAGTAGTTTATATATTGTGTGGGTCTGATGTAACAAATGCAACAAAACTGTCAAAATGAAGAAAAAAAAAACTTTTGACCATCATATATTAATTCGAATTTTTCTCTCTTCTTGTGTTTTTATGTGAAGGTTGGAGACGGTCAGTGGGAGTGTTGTGAAGAGAATTGAATTAGAGAAAAAGATGCACTATCTTAAGGTGTGTATTTGTGCATGATTGTGTGTATTTGTGTGTGTTTACCACATCTACACAAAGCTGAAACTTTACTCAGAAAGACTGAGAAGTCTCAGGCAGTCTGTATTGTGTGCAATTTAGTGTATGTGTTTCCATGATGAAGCGTCTAAATTAATGCTGATCAACATACTGTACACACGTTCACCAGAATGACTCATAGATGCTGATCTCTGTTTCTGTGTTTTCCCTCGGCACAGCAAACCCTTCGTGAGAAATGGGTGGAACTGCAATCTCTCACACTTCAGGAAAAACGTCTTACTCGAGGTGAGAAAAAAAAAAAAACTATATACAACTGTTCAGACAGTTAAAGGCCACTGTCTGACAGAAGAGAGTATATCTCCCTGAGAGAGTTCCAGTTGGATTTGCAACATGGATCTGAAACAAATTAATTTACACGAATAATGCACAAATGATGAATGTGTAAAGGTTTACATCCCCTTGGTTCTTTTTATGAGGTAGCTTCCTCAGTGATTATCTACGGTTTGTATGGTTTGTGATAGTTGTGCATGAGTTCCTGCTTTGTTTTTGAAGGTGTTTAAAAAACGCTGCTTAAACAAAGTTGTTAAGAAACCCGCACTATGTCCAACTGTGTCCTTTGTCTGATATACTCTTATGCTGTACAGGATGATGTTGAATAACATTAGGATTACATGTGTCTCTGTCTGTGTTCCAGGTAATCTGAATGAAAGTGCTCAGCATCTGTCTGTTGACTCTCTGATGTCTCTCTCATCTCCAACTGGCCGCTCTGGGCAGCGTTTTTCCAGTGACAGCAGTTGCCGTAGCATAATGACAGATGATAGTGAGGACGGAGCCTTCATGTCATCAGTATTTGATGACTCAAGTCCGTTCAGCCCAACTGAGCCAAATGGAGGCTTCTTCCAGCTGGAAGGGGGGGCCTTGCGGCCCCTGACAAGAACACGCAGCGTTAGCCTGACCAGCAGTAACAGTTCACTCTCTCCGAGCTGGGAAAATTCAACTTCTTCCATGTTTGGGACGCTGCCAAGGAGAGGCAGGAAAGGTAGTGTCCGCAAGCACCTTCTAAAGTTCATACCTGGACTGAATCACTCCGTAGAGGAAGAAGAGGGCAGCTAAAACATAATTTCTACAACCATTGACTGCTGATCTGATGAATACTTTGACCTTGGGCAGTGGGAGATTCAACCAGTTTGAAATCTTCTGTTCTGAAAACATTATAGAATTAATGCAATACAAGAACTGACGGGCATTCATGACTTTCCTGCTTTAAGTGTTGAAATGAGGGGAGGAGTCTCACATGAGCATTACGGACTGCATGGCAGCAATCTTTGTGTTATTTTCTGTGTTATTTTTTTTTTCTCAAGGGACCAAAGCATTATGACTTCCCCAAGATTCAGCACTGAAATAAACAACTGGCATTAACCAAACTGAAAAGCAACTGCATTGAGATAATATTTAGAATTGTGCACATTGCTTCCACTGCTCTAATTGAGTGGTTTAGATTTCAGTCCCACAAACTCATGAATGTGTCCTAGATACTTGATCTTGTAACTAATCAAGATCTCATAGTCTCACATCTGATATCTATATCTCACATCTATAGATCTCGTATCTGCTGTAGCATGCAAATGTGAGGGGGCTTAGTGGTTGAAGACATAGGGGTGTGAGGAAGCCCTGACTCAACATAGGCTTGTTGCTTCTCAATGTTAAGCATGCACCTTGCTGCGGTCCAAAATGTCTTAGACTTAACACATTGCAAGTGTTAGTTACATTTTCAGTCTTTCTTCTAAAGTCCATTTTCTCATTTAGATTAACTATTGTCTTGATGAAGCAAGAATCCGAAAAGAATGTAGGCTACCTGAATAATAACATATCTGGTATAATTAGAGTAATACCACAGTATAAGGGTCTAATACTGTAGTATTAGAGTAACAGATTTAATAATTTAACTGGGGATGTTGCATTGCAAGACTCTGAGGCTTGTTACCACCAGAGCAAAATATAAATTAATGTCATGCATGTTCAGGGGATCCGTGAGAATATGTTTGTGCTAAATATGTTTGTGGCTTAAGTGTCCGCTAAATGACAAGTAACCATTTGATTCATTATGCCTGCAAGCTTACTGTGCCTAGTATAGGATTAGGTTTGAGGTTAAAGCATCTTGCATTCTTCTTGCAAACTTAATGCATTATTATCAAACTCATTTCTCTCTGTTTTTAGGGTTGTTGAGTTTGTTTAGGTAGTTAATGTTAAGATTAAAAATGTTTAACAGTGTTGTTTCAGGACCAACAAAACATTTTCTGCTTGTAAAAATCCATCAGGCTGTAAGTAAAAGTAGAGACAGTGAAAATACACACAGAATTGAATAATGCACAAAAATTATTTTGCTGCACATCAAGATCCCATAATTAAAACAATTTATATAGTATAGAATATTTAAGACAATTTATAGAATATACCTCTTATAGAGTATATTTTTATTTATACCCTGTTAGAAGTCATTTAATCCTGATCTCAGATTAGTTTAGATCAAAACTTTAAATCCTTGACTGCATGAAAAAAAGACTGCTCTGTAGTGAGTGTGACTTAAAAAAAAGACTGAGATGATGAGTGACAGAGCTCCAAACCACAGCAGGTATAGAGAAATTCATAACAGGATGTGGTCTGATAGAGGTGCTGCTACCATACCACCTTTTTTTCTTTCTTTCTTAAGTGATCCCTATAACAGACAGTTTTATTTAAACTAATTTGAAATCTATTAAAATTATTAATAATAATATAACATAAATAAATTATTAATATATTTCAACTAAATTTAAATATATTAATAATTATTAATTATATTCAATGCATGATAAATGTGAAAACCAATATTTGGCACGTGATTCTTTCTTTTCTTTTGTATTTTTATTTATTTATTTACTTTAATGATCATATTGAGAGGGGGATATTTTCATAAAAAAATTTAAAATAATAATAATAAATCCTATTGCTGTTGCTGCTAGTCACCTGCATACAACACAGGAAATGTGTACTTTTATTTGGTAATGCTTTAGATTACAACCCGCAAAGAACTACGGAAGTATACTGAATTTACGGTGTACGTTTCTGTAATTATAGTGTACCTATAAAGAACGTACGTGTAGGTGTAAGGGAATAATATGCAAAGTTTAGGGAATAAAGGGGTAACAACCTGTAAAATTATTATTATTATTTATACTGTAAGTATTTTGAAACTAAGAGGTACCTATTCTAATATTGCGTGGTATGTATGGCCTAAACAACAATCTTATGTTTGGGAATGATTTAGAAAGACGATATATACTTTTTATAATTTTATATTGGTATTTTATTATAGGCGTATAGGTATTTTTTAACCATGGGGTACACATTCTATTATTAAAGGATGGATATGATGCAGATTACTGAACAACAAAACTGGACATCTAGTGAAATTAGTTAATGATTTTCTGCTATGATTTATAGTTCATGAGTTTACTTACCTTATGAAAGCTTATTCATGGATTTCAGCAACTTCACACCAGCAACTTCTCAACACCACTATCACCAAATAACTTTGCATGATATACCATCAAGGTTCAATGAAGCTTAAAACAAGCTTACCTCTTTCCAGCTGTTCACAGAAAAAATACATGATACAACATTTGTATTTCAGTGGATGTATACTGTGGTGTTTTTATAGCAAAAAAAAATGTAGAGGGTTTAATTTGCCATCGAACAATTAAATTAAAACTAGTGCAATATTGTTCTCTGTAATTACTGTGCAAATATACACTTGTTCTGTGTTTAAGTCCAACTTGTTCCTCCCTTGTTCCATGTAGTTACAGGGTAAATACAACATTTGCGGGCTGTAAATTAAAGTGGTGCTTAATAAAAGATTAAAATTGATTACACCAGTTCAGAAAAAAGCAAAGTAACTCCATACTTGTACAGCTTATACAGTTAAATCAAATTCTTTTGAAAAGCTTGTTTAAGAATAAATAGATTTTGTTCAATTTGTTCATGTTTTTCACCCACTGACGAAGTTCAGCTATTATGGCCAAACCATCACGCCAATAAACTCACAGTAATAAACACTGAAAGTCAAGATTAAACTGTATTATAGCGAAATGACAGGATTTTACCGTCTTTGATTCTACCGTTTTGATCCACGTCCTCAAGCATCATTTTGACTAACATTAGTTCAGTTCCCGGTTTTACTGGTTTTAAAAGAACACATTCCAGTCAGTTTGAAAAATCTCTCTCCTCTTCGTTTCGATTAGTTTTCTTGTATTTTCTACACATATTCCTGTCATGAGCGCCGCAAACACGGATAGACTCTTCTCATGTGCCATTCCAGCTGTTTCCAGTTCGCATTCACCACATTCACTGCTCCAGTTTTAAAGTAACACACTCCAGACAGTTTCAAAGTTGTCCCTCGTCTGACCGCAGTAAAGATAGTTTGCGGTTTGATATTCAGATCTCTTTTGGCTATAAATACGCAGTGCGCTGTCATAGACATGCCTCTACTGACCCCTCTGTCAAGCTCCTGAAGTTTGCAGATGACACTACAGTCATCGGTCTCATCCAGGACGGAGAGTAACTTATAGACAGGAGGTCGAGCAGCTGGCTGTCTGGTGCAGTCACAACAACCTGGAGCTGAACACGCTCAAAACTGTGGAGATGATCATGGACTTCAGGAGGAACCCCCCTGCTCTCCCCCCACTCACCATCATGGACAGCACTGTGGCTGCAGTGGAGTCATTCAGGTTCCTGGGCACAACCATCTCTCAGGACCTGAAGTGGGACATTCCCATTGACTCAGGATAGTGATGTTAGTGACCCAGGGAAGGGTCAGCTGACCCGTAGTGAGCTGTGAAAGTTTTCACAGATCAGAATAGTGATGTTAGTGACCCAGGGAAGGGTCAGCTGACCTGTAGTGAGCTGTGAAAGTTTTCACAGATCAGAATAATGATGTTAGTGACCCAGTGAAGGGTCAGCTGAGCCGTAGTGAACCGTGAAAGTTTTCACGGATCAGAATAGTGATGTTAGTGACCCAGGGAAGGGTCAGCTGACCCGTAGCGAACTGTGAAAGTTTTCACAGATCAGAATAGTGATGTTAGTAACCAAGGGAAGGGTCAGCTGACCCGTACCGAACTGTGAAAGTTTTCACAGATCAGAATAGTGATGTACATGACTCAGGGAAGGGTCAGCTGACCTGTAGAGAACTGTGAAAGATTTCACAGATCAGAATAGTGATGTTAGTGACTATTGTTAGTCACAGTCGGTCCGCGTCAAGTTGAACACACCTACTAGTTTACACCGGTTACACTCAAGAGATGTGGCGCACACGTGAGGCTGTAGTGCTAATGCGTCCCAGCCCCCTTAGATGTAAGGCTACATTTACACTGGTGCATTTATGTTTTAAAATGAAAATTATCCTCATCATACTGGCGTTTCCACTGCGTTTCAAGCCGGCTTTCTACCATCTCCAAGCGACAGACCGGTCGGGTCAGCTAACCCGTATGGAACTGTGAAAGTTTTCACAGATCAGAATAGTGATGTTAGTGACTCAGGGAAGGGTCAGCTGACCTGTAGAGAACTGTGAAAGATTTCATAGATCAGAATAGTGATGTTAGTGACTCAGGGAACCGTTATCTGACAATAACTGCACTGTGAACGTTTTCACAGATCAAAATAATGGACCCGTAGTGAACTGTGAACGTTTTCACAGATCAGAATGGTGATGTTAGTGACCTAGTGAAGGGTCAGCTGACCCGTAGTGAACTGTGAACGTTTTCACAGATCAGAATAGTGATGTTACTGACCCAGGGAAGGGTCAGCTGACCCGTAGTGAACTATGAAAGTTTTCACAAATCAGAATAGTGATGTTAGTGATTTAGGGAAGGGTCAGCTGACCCAAACTGAACTGTGAAAGTTTTCACAAATCAGAATAATGATGTACATGACTCAGGGAAGGGTCAGCTGACCAACACTGCACTGTGAAATTTTTCAGATCAGAATTAAGTTAAGGGGTCAAGAAAGGGTTAACTGATACTGTGAAACTTTCGCAAATCAGAATATTGAAGCCAAGTACTCAAGGAAAGGTACAACAACCAAAACTTTATTGTCAAACAAAGTGTACAAGTGTATACGTGTATATGCTCATTTACCTAATGAACTGGAAACCGTTATTAGCGGACTTACCAAGAGGTTTACGGACAAGACCTTTGCTGTGAAAAAATTCACAGATCAAGCTGGTGATGACACCGGTTTCATTCCTCTAAGTGTCCAACTTTTGGAGGTATAGGCATTATAAAATTAAGAGTCGCTACTAAAAAAAACCCTGAATTCACAAATCATGGAGAATGATATTCGGTATTATTTGCATGTCTATGACAGCGCACTGCGTATTTATAGCCAAAAGAAATCTGAATATCAAATCGCAAACTATCTTTACTGCGGTCCTTGACCGCGCTTCGATTAGTTTTCTCCTATTTTCCACACGTTCCCATCTTAAGCACCGCAGTCACGGATTTCGTTGCACAAAGTACCGTTCACGTTTGAACTCACGTGACTTGATGCATGCTCTCATTCACGTCGAGCGCTTGGATTTAAACAATTTCCAGGGTGTTTTATATGTGTAGGCTATAAAAAAGTACACAGTGAATGTTTTTGCTAAATCACCTGCAAATATAAGATTGTTGTTAGGTCATACATTCCACGTAATATTAGAATAG